GTAAATCTTGTCGGTCTGGTAATCGTAGTCGATGCTGTAGGAGCTTCAACCCCGCTCAGTGGGATTTCACGGATTTCCTCGCCGTGGAAGTCGAAGCCACTGTTCTCGCCCACGAAGATCTTGCTATCGACCAGGTCCGTTATAAAGATTGTGTCAGCTGAGTGAAGAATGTATTAATGATAAAAACAAGAGTGATAATAATGCTAGAAACAATTATAAGGATCATGATGATTATACTGCTACTAATAATAATATTTAGAAGAATGATAATAATTATATAATTAACACTGATATGATCTTGTGGATGATGATGATGATAATGTTACTAACAATGCTGATGATAATGTGAATAGAAATAATAACAACATCAAAAAGACAATGATCATAAACCTAAAGATAACGATGATGCATGTAATGAGAATGGTACACTTTTACAAATCGCACTTATGTGACTTTAATGGCAATTTTCATTTATTCGTACGAACTTTTCAAAATTAACATACACTAATAAATACAAAAGGTTGGTATGAAGTTGGTGGAAAAGAAATTACCTACCCAGAGACCATATCAGGGAAATGCAGCACAACAAAGTGCGAACATAATGATACGAGAGCGAGGGATCGATTGAGAGAGGTAGAGAGAGAGAAAGAGAGAGAGAGAGAGAAAGAGAGAGAGATAGAGAGAAAGAGAGAGAGAAAGAGAGAGAGAGAGAGAGAGAGAGAAGTACATAATGTAGAGACTGGGGAATTCATTCACAGGAGCAGGAGCGGATCCACACATTTCATTTTTTTGAGACGATTTTTTTGTTTTTTTGTAATAATATAATGTATTTATTTTTATTTAGTGATCACACAACCACCAATACTGCAACCTGAATACTGAATACTGCAACCATCGAGAACCAAGAGCCAGGGGTTTTAGACGGCTATTATTTATGTATATTATTTCCATATGACATTTTCATTTAATATGTTTATATTCTAAAAACAAAATATTAATGTTTAGGTTTCTATTGGACTAATACGACATCATTTTAAAACAATTTAGGCAACTTGGTTATTAAGCCCATTATTATTTTTTTTTTGGGGGGGGGGGGGGCTACACATGAGAGATATATTGGATATGTATTATAGTTAGGATAAGATTTCAACTGACTGATTTTCATATGGGATTACAGATATTTGAAGACAAAAAGATTTCTCTCGTCTCATATATGAGCTTGACATTTTTTTTCTTCAAAGGACATTACCCACTATAAACCTGGTTATAGCTCTGGCTACATTATCTACAGTAGCGTTCAGTGCCATGCAGGAATAAATCCTACCAGGTAGAACAAAACATCATAACACATCTCAAATGAGTGAACATTCTTGGATTCAAACTATGTTTATTGCACATTGGAGCATATCCAGTTTTATAGCACAACAGAGACAAGTCTTTCTCGCGTGACATCTCTCCCTAGTGCAGCACATGGCATTTAGTCTCGTTAAATTTTTTTCTACCGGTCCTATTGGTGCCCCTTTCTTTCCTTTTCAAAAAGTAGTTGTGACTTCGTATTCGTCGGGGTCTTCGTGTGAGGCATGTAATTTTATTTACTGAAAATCGGAATAATGGTAACAATAGAAGTTGAGTCTCGTAGAGCTAGCGCTCATGTTTGGCACAGTGGCACTCCTGGCGTTCCAAATATGCAAGTATGCTGTATGGATATATTACGAACATGTCATGGTGATTTTGATTACAACACTAATAATATGTGTCTGTTTCGAACCAAAAACATGAATAACAGAAAAGGGGAAAGAGTTCAAAACAGAAATAGTCAGCATTATATGCATGCTTATTGGCGTCCGTGCTTTACATGCCTAAGTGCTTCTTATATCTTGCTATATACGTTTGATATGTTTTAACCCCGAGATGTTTACCTGAGAGAACCAGCTGTTATTGTCTGATTGTGCAGGAGCTACGAGCGTCTTCACATCCCCCCATAATTTTTTTTAAAGAAAAAATTGTGTGTGCACTATATTTGTTCATATGAGTGAGGTTCAATGGTTCAAATTTATTTCCACTTTCTCATATAACATATGCGATATAACATAAACAAAACAAAGCAGTGCATTACCAAAATTGGTATAATTATGATGTTGCAGTTATTAAATGATATACATACTTCTTTAGTGAACATATACATTGCATCATTATCAAAGAATTGTAGAAAAATAATCAATCTGAATTACATTTTAATTTGCGAAAAATTGAGGAACCTGTAAAAAAAACGCAGAACTTCTAAAAGAAAAATAATTGTATTCAGGAATTTTAAAAAAGGGGGAAAATAAAGAGTTTAGTGCAAGGACAACGAGGGAAAGGAAAGAGAATAGGATAGACAAGAAAGAATGAGAATGGGAAAAGGTGAAAGAACGGGAAAGAGGAGGGGGAAGAGAGAGAAAGAAAGAGAGAGCATTGCTCCGGATATAGTCTTGGTCTCATCAAGATAATCTTATATCTCGTGGTGTAATTTGTTTTCCTTTTGATTCCAGTCTATTCATGAATTGATTTGTCGTTTTATTTCCATCCAATACATATCAACGGATTAAAAAATGAACGTCGTATAAGCACATATAAACGATGAACATAAGAAACAAATGTAACGTAAAGTTTGGGAAAGAAAAGAAAAGAAAAAAAGGTTTTGTTCCCCTTCCATGCAGAAATAGAAATTAATCAGTGCATTGTGCCATCTGTCTAAACAGACAGCACACATCGTAGAGTACTGGAGTGTGACGTCATATTAGCCAAGTTGTCAAGGTTGCTGGTTTCAAAACAATTTTGTGCTAAACAATGGCGTGGTGATCACACCAACGCCAAACATTAAATTTACCATGCTCCAGCCCGTTGCTTGAATGCTGTAGCGGCGAACTCATGCGAGGGCGGCTCTTTGTTGGAACCAGTAAACTGAGCGACAAGCGAAAATGACGTTAGCACTTCGATACTCTATGTTGTACAAATGTTTCCGACTGACTGACAAGCGGAAACTGTCATTCTGTGTATGATTTCCCTGACAGTTTCAGCAGGCGATATGATCCGCGTTCTCAATGACAATATTGAGCTATTGTGGAATAATTGCACAATGCATATCGTACTGCTTTTACAAAATATCCAGCTTGTGATAGGTATTGTATCAATAGCATTGAGTCGTAATATATGTGTACAGAAGGGTGTTAAATGGGCCAATTTGATGTAAATCTTATATTTTGTTTAGATATTGGTACACGTTTTAAATGTCGTACCCTTCAAAATACTGACATAAATACTGTTTGATAATATACATATCAATAACAATCTTTTGTTATTTATTGTTATTGATTCTTTGCTTATTCACAATCATCAAAGTACAATTATAAGTATGTTTTTAGAAAAGGCCAAGCTTTATGATGACGTTTAGCCACATACGTATCTATTCTTTCTGCAGCAACCAGGCAAGTAGCCAATTTGAAGTTCATGTACAGGAATAAGGATATTTTTATTGGAAAAAACAAATTCCTTGTTTTGCTAATGTAATAATATATATTTTGTTAGTCTTAAATTATGATAATGCTTATTGTTGCTATTCAAGTGGAAAGTATATAATTGTGAAATGGCCTACACATGTATTGATAAATGGTACTAGTCTTGAAAACAGAAATAATTAAATATTATATTAAGTCTCAATAATCTCTGATTGACTTAGCCCTCGGCAGGGCCTAGGGAGCATGAGGAATATTTGCGTGTGTCTAAAGATGTGGCAGTATATTTTGTCAGAGAGAGAAATTAACCATATACAACATCTCGTTTCAACATTCAACCATGTAACGTCGTAACCTGTTGATTATTAAAGACTACCTACTATAGTATACGCAGTAATGATTTTTTTTTTCCATGTTGCCGGAAGTTAGTCTAATTTTCTCAGACATCAAATTGGATCGTGGGGTGAACAGAATAAAATAATGTGAAATTGTAGGCGCATCTCACTATTATCACCGTTTTATTTCGTATATTTTTATTTGATTTTATTTCTGCATATTTTCCAAATAAAATATAACTGAATAACAAAGAACATAAAATACATGTAAGGTATAATAAAACATAAACAAACAATAATTTCTTAATGTCAAATGTTTTTTGTACATAATATATGTACATATAATAACGAAACTTATTACTTCCATAACATATTATCATAAATTAAAAGTATTATCTGAACTATTCTGTTGGAAAAGTGCAGGAGACCGCAATCATAAGCAAAGCTTAACATTTCATTTATTTGGTCGCTTTATTTGTTCAGCATAAATTTTAGTTTCGACCATTCATCTAAAACACAGCCACATGTACATGGGTATCGACGGTTTCAACACTGCTAAAATAGACTAAGGAACAGTTCCAAAGTCTTAACATTACCATAAACTTTTTTTTTTAATAGGATAATTTGGGCCTATTATTATACCGGTCATTTTTATGTTTTTCTAAGACTGTTGTTCTAAATTGCTATACTCTTAATCAGAATAGACGTTGGATTGGAATATAACATTATTAAAGTTTATGATGGAGAGAAATGACGATGAAATTATAGGAAATAATGTTTGCGTCAAGCTTGTGAAAAGACTATTGCAGTCTAAATATACACGCCAATAAAAACTATAAAACAACAACATTATGTGATCTTTCTGATGGACACCACGGAAGTTCCGTGATTGACACACGAGCAACGAGGGGGGGGGGGGCGGGGGTATTGAGCACTGCTTTTTTTTTTTTAAAATCAACACCCCCCCCCCTTTTTTTGTGCCCACCCCAGGGGAGGACGCCCGTCTTCATTTTGATTTGAAAACAGTTTTTTGGCCAGGGGGAGGGACCCCTCTCCCCCCCCCCCCCCCACCCTTAGATATGCCACTGGGGATAGCCGTAGGGTCGACGGTCAGTTGGAGTCGAGATGAGAGTCATGAGACACACTTGATCAGCTTAATGTCACAAATAGCGGTCTGCGTGTGCTTAGAACTAGACTAGTCTATTACTATTAGTTCATCGTCGATCCGTCGTCCCATGCCCTCCTCAGAGACAGACCACGCCACAGAAGCCGCTAAAATGGTGTTTTCGAGATGTTTTAAGGTAAGGTTTGTTTTGGTTTTTCCTTAATTGTCAATAAGAGTAGTAGATTAAATATATAATATCTTATCATAGCTTCATTAGTTGAAACTGTGTGCTTCTAACGCAGTATCCAGACTAGAGCTAGGGAAAGCCCCAAATCACCACCATTGGTTGAATGAATTGAGCCCGGCTGCGCCCGCCAGGCCGCCTGCCAGGCCGCCTGCCGGCGGTGGCCTAAGAAGATGAGACTATAACTTCGTTAGTCAGTTAATTAATGCATTTTAGTACAAGTACTCGTCAATCGATGAGCGCGAACCTAGCCTGCATGTTCCTGATGTTGGACCGATGAAAGCCTTGCCTTTGCTTTGCCTTTGGTCTCTGAAAAGTCTGATATCAATGGTTATGGTTGTTCTGCTATAAATAGGACCTAGACCTACTAATTACTACAGTGTAGGCCTAGGCCTAGACTCGGCTTAGCTACATGTAGCCTATACTATAGATCTAGATCTAAACATGATAAATAACTACGTCAGGCTCCTCCATATTCACTGACTGCCTCTATACAGAGCTGACTGAGTGTGGCTGTGGGGAGCTCAACAGGGAAGGGTAAGAAGTGCCCACTACCCCCCCCCCCCCCCATGAGCAAACAAAATCCATATGATACAAGTACGCTGTTTATTTTACACGTCTGGCGTGAGGTTTTTTCATAAACCAGGAGCTTGCGGGAGAGCAGGAGGAAGGGCGTGTTGGCGAGAGTCTCCTGCTACGAGCTGGTGGGACGGCGGGAAAAGGAGTGTGGTGGCATATGACTCCCTCCAAATGCGGGAGGGTTGGCGGCCCTGGGTTATGCAATGCAGTTTGTGTGTGCATGAGCGCCGTACCCATCCTGCACAGTTCAGTAGCTTCACAAACTGGAGCTGGACAGATACAGTAAGCTGAAAATAAGTCCATAGATCTACACCTCTACAAATGAAAAAAATACAAATGGAAAGAATGCAAACTGCCATTGAAGAACGTGATACTACAAATACACGCAAAATCTTGTCACTCCAAGCAAACGAGCAGGAGAATTACTCACGACGGAACTGAATTCAGTGTACATGTAATTGTAAGTGCTAACAATATGGCACAGATGCAATCATCCTCAAAGCAGTCATTGAGACCTTTGGCCTTGGCATCTCTCTCGCCAATAGACAGAAATAACTGTCTGGTATGGGGAATTTTGAAATAAAACTGACATTTGTCAAACTTCCCCATACACCGACACATTTACGGTTATCCTTGGCATATGCACAATGGAGGGGGTTGGGGGGGGGGGTCAATTAGAGATTTACTCCAGAATCTAGACAAAATGATATAGAAAAAAAATGATTGAAAACAAAATGAATCTAATTTTCTTATACCGGTACTATGAAAATAACATTAATTAGTAGAACATCGAAATAGAAGGACTTACATGTACTTTCAGCTTATCTGATGCTTTTCTTGAAGCTTCTGTGCGAGTTAAGATGGGTGATCACACACAAACTGCATTGCATAGCCTCCCCTCACTAACCCGTACGTATAGAGACAAAATCTTGCCCAATTACAGCTAAATTCAACTTGTATACAAAGTGCATTGGTCTTTGAGTGGAAGAAAACTTACTGGAAAAAATCAATCCAAGAGACCCTATCAAAAGAAAAATGCTGGTCTGCTATCCGCAACAAGATCCCATCCTAAACCACTGGGAGGACAAGTCAGGATGAGTTATTGAACTCATCCCCTTAATAAATTATAACAAAAATGTAAAAAAGCTAATCTCATGCAAAGAAGATCTTGATCATTTGCCTGCAATGGATAATTTAGATACATACCCCCAACTACATATTTGGCTGGTACATATCTTGTACAATGAACCATAGTGAACATTTCCCTTGCAGTTTAAAGCCCCTCTAAAGTGTTGGGAGCCCCAAATTTGCCAAAAATTTGATGACAAAATTTCACTTAAATTGTATCATAATGTGAAAGACAAGGATGTCATTTAAAACACATTTCTGCAAGGATTTTCAAAAAAGTTGTGTTTGAGGATAAATATTGATAAAAAAAAGAATACTTAATTTTGTTTTTCTGTTGCATGCAGAAAACGTACATTTTGTATTACTAATTTAGATGTTTTTAATTCCTAATTAGGACAAATTAACATACATGTATAACCTTATTTCACTCAAGGAACCTCCATAGAAATTAATGAGATTGGTGAATATATTGGTAGTATTTGAGGTTTCATTCTCTAGCTTTCTCTGAAACATGGATTCATGAAAGTACTTCATTATTGTTCAATAAACGGTATATTCGATTCTCTTGACATTACTGTTAGAGATGACATCATGACTCGGTCAATGTGATGGTTATTTTATCTGACTGCTAAGAATGCATAAATGTTTGTAAGTAAGCAACCAGACGGCCGACGGATTTAGGTCCTCTCCGAGGAACCTGGTAGTGAGGATTAATGCCTTACCAAACTAGCACATCGCCTTGGTTTAAAACCCGGGTCACCGGATTACGAGACCACTGCTCTACCGACTGAGCTATTGCGCCTCCTCAAGTCAGATGATATTGAATCTCTTTTTACTGAAATAATCAAATTGGCAAGCTGATAGTAGTTAAATATTCAGAAACCCAAATCAAACATGCAAACATTTACTTATACACTAGATGATTACCGGTATATAAGGATTAATGTTAACATTGACCATATTTATATTTGTACATGTACATGTACATGTATGCCAAATAGTGGTAATGATTTTGTTGGTATGAGTTACTCACATTTTCTATACCAGGGTAACTATTAAACAAGACTGCATCTCTGATTGAACAAATCTTTACTAATATGTAATGATGTACATGTATGTGCCAGTATAACTCCTGGTATTCTTTATTGTGATGCAACTGATCACTTCCAATTTTCCAATTAAGTAACCACATAATAACTCCTCCATCTGAGTCCTTCAATACCGTCAAATCAATGATGACACTTAATTGGCCCTAAAGGTTGATGTACTGTACAATGTACAAAAATCTCCTGAAAAGAAAAAGGAATGAACTGAAAATAGCTGTAAAATACAACAACACCACCATTCTTGGATGACATTTGAGTTACTGTACATGTAGTTTGGTTGATAGTTGATACGCAATGAATTCTATGAATGCTTCTGAAGATAATTTTAAAAAAGTAAGAATGTGTAGAAGATATTTGATAAATTATTATGCAGAACCAGACTAAATTATTATCCAGAATAGTGCTGCGACCGTGTATAGGCACGAACCACCACTACACAACAGATAAACGAAGAACAAATAATCACCTGTTTTTCAGCATTATAAGAGTCTGAAGTCAATATTTCACAAAAATGTCATCAGTCTAAAAATAAAGTTTAAGTTCCACTGCTACTTCCTTGAATAATCATTTCCATACACTGTACGATTTTGATTCAATGCCGTTGAGTCTCTTCTCTTGTCATCATGCAAACAATGCCAATCATTGTGATCTAACTTTCCAGCGAGCGCAATGGTTTTGTGTGCAGTATGGTTACTACACCTGTACAGTTACAACTTTTCCAATGCCATTGAGTCTTTTCTCTTGCCGTCATGGTAATAATAATAGGCAATTTTTTTCAAACTCATTGCGGAATTAGAATCTGCGGTTCGTGTGCAAAATCGAGAAGATACTATAGTAACAGTTGGATGACCACTGAGGCCCTGAAATCTAGAACGGGTTTTGGCCAAATCTACGGGCGTTCTCAATGACGCCCCAAGTGAATCAAGTGCCTCGATACAAACCATTTCATTCACCTGATAATAATAGTATTTAAATAGACAGAATCCAATCTGCATACATTAGTTGTTGCCACACTTAATACATGCAGTTTGCATTCTGACTATTGCGAATCCTAGACAGGTGAATGAAATAATTTGTATTGAGGAACTTCACAAAGACGTACAGTATGTATTAAATTTGATTACATTACGAAAATGGCCTGTTCCCTTCAACGCAATACAGTACAGACGGGACTACACGACTAGCACAACTTGTCTCAACCAAGCCACAAAACGGCTTTTTATCAAATTTCAACAATAATTTATCATCAAGTTTTAAAACAATTCATATCCATATTCATGTTGTTACTGTTCAGAAACAATAATCGGAAGAAACAAAATTCACCGAAGAGTCCTTTGTGCCAGGGGGGTCTAGGAGGTTTAAATCCCCCTTTGGCTGGCCAAGGTGCTTTCTACCTCCCCCCCCCCCCCCGAAATATTGGTTGGCACTTTTTTCAAATTGAAAACAAATTTTAGTGCTCCCTACCCCCCACTAAGCAAAATATTGGTTGGTGCGATTTTTCAAATGTCAACCCCGCCCGCCCACGCCATAGAAAAGAAGCTAGATCCGCCCGTTAAAATTCGTCATCCTTCGTTATTAGACGACAAAATTCTCATAACCATCTTTGGTACAAGCTCGCTGATTGGCTGTTTATTCACTTGGGGCGTCATTGAGAACGCCCATAGATTTGGCCAAAACCCGTTCTTGATTTCAGTACCTCAGCGATCACCCTGCTGTTACTATAGTAGCTTCTTGATTTTGCACACGAACCGCAGATTCTCTGTCCGCAATTAGCTTGCGAAATACCCCTAATGTTTGTCGAACTGGCAACAACTAATGTATGCAGTTTGGATTCTGTCTATTGAAATACTATTATCCTTATCAGGTGAAAGAAATATTTTGTATCGAGGCACTTCACAAAGACGTTTGCATTAAATTTGGTTACATTACGAAAATTGCCTAATGGCATTGCAAATGCAATACCTCCGTAGAAATACGTACGCATTCACCGAAAAGCAAAACCACATATTGTATTGAGGGCAGTCTGTATGCGACGGCCGTAAACCTGAGTGCTCTGCGTCCGCGAAGGTCTGTATGTTGCTGAGCGAAAACTCGCTAATATGTCAATCATTGCGGTCTGACTATTCCATGAGCATGATGATTTTGTGTGCAGTACTGTTACTACTGTAACAACTTTACAGAGAAAATGGTTGTTGTGAATGCGCGCTGGATTGCTGGTCCAAAGTCATTGGCTAGGTCAATTGGTTAACAACAATATGGAATGAATGAGTGATACCTTATTGTTTTCATAACTCAATTACGTGAACAACTCTTAGTAGAAATTTTTTGCACAGTGAGCAATATTTCACCACAGCTAAAATTTTTGTGGTTAATGTTAATAGAGTGTAACATTTTATCAACCCTACAGAATTATTATTTGTATTAAAAGAACTTTTCAAATGTGAATAATGATATCCATTTTACTGTAGAGTTGTATAAAAAACCACATTTACAATCATACAACAAACATTTTTGTGATATGAGTTCAGGCTCAAAACATACACAATTTGTTAATGCAGGGCAACAAAAAATGAGACAACCTTTTGTTTATGTCTTGCAGTGTAAGAATGATGTTATCTCTTATTGTGAAGCTTTTGTCAAAAAGCTGTATTACAGAATTTAAATACCTGTAATTTTATTTTCAGTAGACAGATATCAAAGACATCCAACTTCAGGACCTTGGCTATTCTGCAATTTTAATTTAATTTTTCTGTCAACATGATTTGTATGAGTAACTTTTAAAATTTGGGGGTTTGTTTGTTATCTCATTTGCATAGCATTGCATAACACTTCTTTAACCAATGAATTTCTGTTTACATTGGTGCCTAAATAATATTGAATTTTGTAACTTGATATGTGCAGTATACTGCTGAATGGGAAACATGATACATGTAAGTTGTCAATTTGCAAAACAATAGTGAACTCTTATATAATGTTGATTCTAAAATACATACATGTACATTAATGATTCACATGAACTGACGACAAATAAAGCGGACAAAATATACTTTCCTCATTATTCTACCCTCAACAATTGCTATGGTAACAAAGGAACATCCATTTCACTGCTATAATGTAAAAAATCTGTAGAAGGGTGTCGCATGCATTTTGTTCTACACATTTTTACATAATAGCAGTGAAGAGGATTTTCCTTTGTCTACCTATAATAGCAATTGTTGAGGGTAGAATGGAACTGTATATTTTGTCCGCATTTCTTTTGTCCTTAATTTCCATATTGATTGTAGATTTCTGCACCTAAACAGATGTCTTGTTAATCCAAAAAATGGTGAAACTCTCAAAATGATAACTCTCATAATAGCACCACAATTCAATTGGGTATCATTGCATAGAGAAATTGTCTACACTAATAACAGAATAAAAAGGATAGTATTATATTCTCATAAGTGATATTAACAAAACCAACTTTCTAAACAGGGTGGATAGTTTGTTCAGAAATGCATATTTCACTTCAAATATTTAATATCTGTGACATTTACAGGCAATCTAAATTTGAAGCTCCATTTACTACCTGGTAGTGTTGGTTGAAATTGTATTGTTTGCGAGTGTCTTTCTTCAAATCACTTTTAACCCTATAAGCCGGCTTATTTTAGTCTTAATATCGGCCGGGGGGGGGGGCCATTATGCATTTTTAAGATCTGGCCGTGAACGCTCTCCGAAAATTTGCACGCAATGTCAATTGAAGTGTATAAACAATATGATAATTTTCAATTTTTGAAAAAATATCATTTGTATATTTATGGTAATTTCTGCAAATAACGTACATAAATCACAATTTTACAAAATCCTATATTATTCATATTTAATCATTCTTTTTCAATACATATATTCATTAGCATTGGACAATAATACGGAAAAAAATTGGAAGAGCCAGCTTTATTCCTTATGTTATCTCTTGTTTTGATAATTTCTATGTATTTTCATTGTTTTTTTTTAACTTATTTATGTTTGTTTTTTTTTTTTTTTTAATCTTTCTACATTCAACAGTATTTTGACTCCCAAAACACCACCTAAACTTTAACAAGACCCAAAACCATGTTTGAATCTATTTTTAGAAAATGACTTTCCATATGTATTGTACACAAATCACAAAATGATTCAATTTTTCGGTACATACAAGACAAAAGGTCACGTGACCTTGGAACATAGTTGATTTTTTTTTTTTTTTTTTTTAAAGATGCCAATATCTAAAAAAGTCAGGATTGGCGAGGCGCCATCCCTATGTTATCGAACATCAGAAAAATTTGGAGCGGGTGATAATGGTTGAAATTGTCGGTCCTTATTCACTTTTAAAGCAAAACAGGTTTTGATCTGAGGTATAATTAGAAAATTAAAACATTTGTATACTAATAAAAAGAAATAGATTAAATTCCTCTCCTGGCAGCTTCAACTCTGAAGTATGGATGAACTATGGCCTGTACCTGCAATAGAAGTGGTCAAAAGCCTACTATTTTGAGTAGTATAAAATTCTAATCTTTGGAAAATCCTGTTTCAATTTATTATACAATGTTCAGTGAGCTGTGAGGCTGCATTATAGATTTAAGTGGTATCAGTTACGATTTATGGGCCATTCCCTTTCTCCATCTCACTGAACATGTAAATAGTACCAGTATTCTTTTGGGCTATATTTAAAGAAATGTAAATCAAATCAGACTACCGGTAGTCATTCTCTTTCCATACAGTGATGAAGTGAGCAATGTGGTTCAAAATTCTGAATACTTTGTTTTGGTAATGTGATCTTCCAATGTCTTCCAATAATGGTTGTCTTGCTGACCCTGACTTCTAAGCAAATAGCCTACCTTTTTTTTAAATGGTACATTGTAGCTGCAATAGTTTTGAGAAAAAAATCTTGATATACACCCTGTACATGTAGGTGTCACATTAATTCATTTTCTATTTATGTAAATAATAGTAAGCATATCAACACCACCCTTATGTAAATAAAAATGTTAACAAAAATTCAGGGCAAAAACTTTTCCTCACAACAACACAGCCTCTCTAAATCAAATATGTTGGTATGTATTACATTTGATGTGATACATGTAGTTTGAATATCATGATGATACTGTACATGGTTATGAATAGCTATTATGGATCACATTCTTTGCCCCCAAGATATGTGAAATTCACCTATGTAGAAGATTTGGGATGAAGGGTTCTCAAATGGTATAGTTTGGCATAACCTGTCATTAATTGGAGCTTAACATGATTGTCATTTACATAATATTACTGGCCTTGAGGGAGAAACAAGGTAATACACCCTGTATTGCCTTCACTGATTCAGTAAGGGCAATACATGTACATATAAATGCATATCACTGTATCTCCCAAAAGATTATAATTATTACCTATTCATTTGTGAATCACGTACGGTCACTATACCCTACTACAGCGCCGCATGATAGTCTGCTCAAACTTTGCGGCGATTTTAGCTGTTTGAAAGGTCCAATATGGAACACAATCTTTGTACTCAAAGTGAATGGTGAAACCCGAAAGAGAGAAACTATCAGGAAATATTGCCCGCTCAAAACTGTTAGTTTGCGGACCGGGCAAATATGCATTTTAATGCATGGTACATGTACATGTAAAATTACCTGCTACTGTATACATGAAGGTAATAAAGCAAACAAAGATCAAATTCACTACTGGTTCCTGTAAAATTTCACCTAGAGAGTACATGTTGTGGATAGACAAACTACCAGCCATACAAGAATGTAGGAAAACCAAATCGAGTAGGAAATTGTTAGTTAAAAATTCAAAAATATTGCTTTGTATAATGTCTTATAATGTGACACTGAGAAAATCCTTTAGAATAGTGCTAGTACTCCAGTACACTGCTGAATCATTTTACATAGCAGCTCATGAAACTTAAATCACATTTTAGTCTTTTCAAATCCTCTGTGAAGTCCTTTTGACATTAGCTTTAATGTGGCAATTTTTTGTAGTACTCTGTACATGTACATGTACATTCAATCCTATGGTCATACAGAGATTGAATCACATTCTTATGAAATTTGAATTGCCTCCTATACAGGGTGTACATGTACATGTACTGTACATCTTCAACAATATTCACATACACAAGATTTGTGTAATTATCACTGTTTTGTATACTTGAGATGCTTTTCGCAAATATTTATTGGAAGATTTGTATATCCTTTGCTTACATAACATGGATTTCTTTGGCTTTGTCAAATAAATTTCTAATTGGTTTAGCATGTACACATGTAGACATATTGATCTATCACCTACACATACAGTACTGTACATGTATGTAGTGTACTGAAATATTATAAGAATACTTTCTTTTGATCCTGTAATGTAATCTGTATGATATGTTAGATATTTGATATAATTTTATAATTCTTAAAATGCTTATTCATTTTTCAGAGGGGCAGGTAGACACTTGATGACAATCAACGCAAAGGCACAAGGTCACTGTCAAGATAAAGGAGAAATGGCATGTGTACTCCACCGATTGTGAGAAGGGGCTCTTGATTATCCTTTGAAAAAAGTGGTAGATCAAGTTGATCCAGTGTAACAGTAGCAGCAAATCTATGAGGTATGTACAATGTAGATGGATTGTAACAAAAACTTAGGGGTGTTCAATGATCAAGGTACATGTATTTAAGACTCCTACCCCATTTTTTCACAATTTTTTTTATTGATGGCTATTAAGTGCTGCATGCATGTACAATGTAGTTTTTCAATGAATGGATGTAAAAATTGATGCTTTTGGATCATAATTGACTAATATGCCCATGTAGTAGACAATTTTCAAAATGTATTCAAATGTAAACATACATGTACGTGTACCTTGCGATGAGCTATTACATGTACATGTACATTCACCTGTTTTCTATTATTGTACCTCAATACCGGTAGTCAGAATGCAAATTGTGAGGATTAGTTGTTGCTACATGTAGGTTGGGTAAACATTATGGCCTGCCTGACCTAACAACACGTAATGTGTTATTGGTATTCTGAAAGTGTTTATTATTGAAATACAATTTTTCAAAGCAGGAGAATGAAATGATTTATTAAGAGGCAGGTAAAGAAGATGTTTTTGCATGAAATGTATTTACGGTATGAAAATGACCGATCAAACCAAACTCTTGAGTATATTTGTCTTTACTTAGAATATATACTAGTATATGATAATAACTCAACTTTGTTATTGTTTTGTTCCTGAAAGTCATTTCATTTGATATATGCTGTACTGTGACTTATCCACATAGAAATTGTAGAGCATTGCATATAATACAATTTATAGATTGTTATGTTATAGATAATTATTGGGGAAAAACAATGTGAACCTTTCCATTTGTTAGTATTGGCAATACAGTGTACAGGTACAAGATTACAACAATTGTAGAATACTTAATACTAGACAATATTTGTATATTATATATATGATATGATAGTATGGTATGGTATGATAGGGAAAAAATTCATCTCGGAAGAAATTGTAGACATTTGAATGAATTGTACTCCAAGATATATTATTGTTAGCACTGTTCACACTGTTCTTGAGACCAAAAAATAAATGGAAGCTCTGTTCTTTATTTTTCAAACCAACAGATTTCATATGGGATCCCTTTAAGTACAAGGTCTACGCAGCTTCACACACGCACTGAGAGGGACCTGGCAGAGGCTAATAGCATGGCCCTTGGTATGATCAGCCTAAGGTTAAGGTTGATTCAACGAGACATTAAATGGAGATTTTTCAGTGAATATTTTTTTAATGTTTAATTCCAGATATTTAATTGTCTCAAGTAAAAAAATATGTGTTCACTAGTGTTGATTTGAAAAAAAAGCTCCTGCTGTGGCAATCGAAAAGAGCGCTATATTTTGATTTCTTACAAAGAAGTTTCAGAACCTATGACTATAAAATTTCACACTTTATATCTAAAGGGTTTAATTATTTAAAATAATTTGCAAGTTTCTTGGAGGTTACACAAATTTGAAAAAGTGTAATTTGTAAGAGTTTACAGAACTCAATATCACTGTATTTTGATGATATTTAATTTGGGTTTGAATTAGAGCAAACAATTTAAGATTATACAAGTTAAACAAATAGGGTGTGTAGTTTGATAAATGTGGGATATCCATTTGTTTCATTATACTACAAATTTTTGTGAAAGGTCGATCATCCACTATTGTTAGAGGAAACCTCACAAAACCTCACCCTAAAGAATAAGCGTAGGTATTCTGAAAAGTGAGATGTATTTCTGCCGGCCCTATGATGTACAAAATTCCTTACGAAAATGGAAAAGAGCTACCGGTATGTAGGATGCGAAAGTTAATGTGGTTAGATGAGCAAGTGTGCACTTGTAAAAATGACACCTGGCTGGAATGATCCCCAGGAAGTAGAGAATGTGCATACATAGTGTGCGGGTAAGCCTGAATCTGATGACCGGGGTAATAATATATCTGTAAAGCACTTAGAGACATCATACGCTATATAAAAGCGGAATCATTATTATTATTATTTTATTTTAGGCCTCAGATGAAGGAAATGGGTGCCGAAAGATATCCTTTGAGCACCTTATCTCTGCCAAAACTGCATTAATAATTTAGCACTTTATGTAAAGTCCATTAGATAATATTTATTTGATGGTATTATCGTAATGGCATTCAGGAAAAGTCAACTTCAGGTGTACAATCATCTTGCAACTAATAAACCTTATATGTGATTTAAATAGTTTGTAAAATGATTAGAATAATGATAAAAGGATATGAGAATGGTTATGGTATACCACTTATAAGCTTGTATTACAAGATGATTTCAACATAAAAAATAAACCCAAACAAGCAAAAATATTGAGCATTCAACCATACTATTTTTTAAAGATGTGTATGTACACAAGAACCAAATGAGATCACTTTAAGGCGCCACGGAGGCATATATTACATGTAGTGTCTTATAGCTCATGCAAAAGTTGGTAACCCCCTGCCTAACTATTTGTTCAGGTTTTTCTGATATGTGTTGCTAGATAGCAAGATGATTACCATTCTACAAGCTCCTTGAAATTATTTCTTGCAAAAGTTGAATACTGTACTAAAACATAAGAGGTGACAATTATTAGTCCCCTGTCATCATCTAAATTCCTATATGGCTTCTTTTCTTTTCTGTAACCATGTTAAATATCACAAACTAGTTATTAAAAGCTCCATAAGTTTTCTGAATTCAAAGGTGACCAAGTGCCTACCGGTACTTCATTCTTATTATTTACTTTGACTGGCCTTATTATCTCTTGTGCTATGTTTCAGGTGTGGGCAACACATCCATATTTGTGTGGGCGTATTAAACCTGACTGCAGCTATTGCTCTTTGTACATTAAATATGTAACAAATGAAAGCATTGTAAAGTTGTAAACATGTTTACGGCATAGCTTCTGTATGAGGCTATTGATATATCACCTGTGTAAATATATACATTATTTCAATAACATTTGCTATTTTTTGTGGGGATAATAGTGCTATACATTCCATTCAAATATACAAACAGACCGGTTTTATTGTACATAGGTCATGCTGAAATATAATAGTGTAAATGAAGAAAAATTACCATGTAGTAAATATGATTTCAGGAACACGATGTTGGTTTGCTGCAATTCGAGAATTGCTGTGTTGACAATTGTTCCGGGCTTTAGTTTAACAAAATTGTAGGGTTAGGGTTAAGGTTAGATTAATATTTAAGCAAGATTTAGGGTTAGGTATAGTATTGGTCCAGGATTAAAGTTAGTAATTCATTTAATGTTGGGAACTATTGTGAAGCAATTTTAGTAGGAGCATGTGTCACAAAACTCAATTTTTCCTCACATTTTGTAGGAGGTATTATACTTAAGTATTCATCATGGAATACCCAAACAAAGTCTGTTTTGTATGTGCTTTATTTTTTGTTTGGTGTGCATGTTGATATTTCTGACTGTAGTAGTAGTAGTAGTAATAGTAGTAGTAGTAGTAGTAGTAGTAGTATAGTAGTAGTAGTAGTAGTAGTATAGTGGTAGTAGTAGAAATTAGTTTTACAAGCTCAGTTTTAAAAAGCCTCTCAACAAAACTTAATATAGACAAGTACAAATAATACACAGTACAATAGGTGACAACTTATTACTTATTCCATACTTGCAAACAAATTGATGATAAAAATAGAATAGATTCGTCATTAGTATTATTTTTTATAATTATTGTTAAGTGAGGAATATTCATATTTTAAATAGAAATCGAGACTGATTAATTGAGTGTGTGACAAGTAAATACTGAAGATTTGTTTGATTTTGAACCATATTAAAATGCAAATTTATTGCCTATTCATATTCTATAATGTAATTCATGACAGTCACACACAATATATGAGGATCTATCATAGAAACATAATTGAACAATACTGAAAGAGAGAGAAAGTGTCAGGGAGAGAACAATTTAAAGAGAGAGGGTTAAGTTAGAAAAAAAAGAAGAAGGAAGAAATGCATGAGAGAGAGAGAGAGAGAGAGAGAGGGAGGGGTGGAGAAGAATGGAACAGATGAACTGTGAAGACATGGAGAAGAAGAATAATGATGGAAGTAAGACGACAGAGGGAAAGCGATTGTGTGTATAAGTCAGTTTGTGGCTCTGTATGTTGTAATGAGGGCATGCGATGATGTAGCATAGCAAAAGTGAGAGTTTGGGGTGTAGGAGTGAGTTGCAGGGCGTCGGACGGGGCCCGTAGGGTGTCGTATCATCTCCTTTTTACTTTCTCTTCCACTTCTTATCTTCCTTGATTTTCTGATTTTTCCTTTCCCCCGTCTTTTCCCCTTTCAATATTTGGTTAGGCCTCCAATCTTCAACACCAGAGGGTGTGGGGGTAATCTCGCTATTCATAACGTCGAACTGCATATATAAAACACGAAGGCGGTAACTATTGATAAAAGCATGAGGACCGTTATTCATAATGTGAGATGAGGGTCGCTTTTCATAATTTATATTGGGGGTCACTAGGACCGCTATTCATAAGATAAATTTAGGGGCACTATTTATAATTAATGCAGAATGAGGGTCGCTATTCATAATATGAGAAGAGGGTCGATATTCATAATCCGAAAAAAGCGTTGCTTTCCATAATAAATACGCCACAGCCATAGGGGTGCTCCTAGCCAACAATTAACTCTCTTGTCATTTTGTTGCTTATTCATTTTTTTTTATGAATAGCGACCCCCATTCCGCATTATAAAGAGCGACCTTCATTCTGTTTTATGAATAGCTACTCTCTTCTCAAATGATAAATATCGACACTCTTCGATTAAGATTAGCTATCCTTATGAATAATTACCCTTTTCTCAAATTATAAATAGCGGTTCTTATAATAATGGTCCTAATAAATAGCGGTCTTTATGAATAATGGTCATTATAGCTAGTTGGCCTCGGGGGGGGGGGGGGGATTGGTGTCCGTTTATGTGTCTTGGATGAGCTTGGATGGGCTTGGATGTGTATTAACGGGGGGCACGGTGGGTATGCTTTTTTTTATTAAAAGTTGCAATTAGATTTAAGTAAAGATGATAGATTTAATTAAAGATGGTTAATTTTGATAATCGGGGAAACAAGATCGGTCAATCTTCATTGATTACTATTTGCAAATTAATTCATCCTTGCTGAACCTATTTAAAACTGAATTTATAAATCATCCGAAACGAGCTGAACGGGTTGAACGTAAACCAATTTGTAACACTAATTGTAACATTAACCCTAGTCCTAAACCTAGATATAATCCTTAACCCTAGATCTAACCCGTAACCTTACCCTAGTCCTAACCCTTGTCCTAACCCTAACTCTAAACCCTGAACTCACCCCAGTAACAACCCTCTCCCTGACCATAACCTCAACCCTAAAATCATTATTATTGATGGTGGATTATTCTGCAGCTTTGCCCTAGTGTTTTGCCTGATGTTTAATAAAATGCTACCCGCCACCACTTCCTTATTTGTGTCGATCGATCGACTTTACGGCGATCAAATTCAGAAGGGGGGATAATTTGTGTTGGATGCGTGTTACGGGGGGGGGGGGGGCAGTATGGATATTTTTTTGAATTTTTCATCAACAATTGCATTTTGATTGAAAAATAGTTAATTTTGATAATCAGGGAAACAAAATTGGATAAAGACGGCAATCCTCAATGTATTAATATTTTCAAATTATTTAATCTTAAATTTAACCTGCTTAAAAAAGGATTTCTAGGTAATCCAAAATGAGCTGCATGGGTTGAACAGAGCAACACTAATTGTAACCTCAACCGTAGTCCTAAAATTGCCCTAACCCTAGTCATACCCCTAACCCTTGTCATAACACTTAACCTTACCCCAATCCTATCTAGCTAACCCTACTTCTAACCCAGCCCCTGTCACTGACCCTAATCCTAACCCTAATTCATTATCATGGATGGTGGATAATTCTGCAGTTAAGCCCTATAGGCCGTTTTAGCTGATGTTATTAATAAAAATTAATGAACCCCCGCTCCTTTTGTATATGTCCGATTAGACGACCATCGATCAAATGTCAAAACAAGAAGAACAAATATTTTCTTTAAATGGAAGATTATCCTGATGAATAATTTGCAGATTAGGCATCATGCAACAAACAAAACTGTTAAAAAATTCTTTTAAATGAAGCCAATTGATAAGTTTATGACACTAACAAGAAAAAGCGGAAAAGTACCCTTTTTTAAACCATTGGTATTAAAAACGTAAATACACATGCACTTTGAAATATCATGATAGAGAGTGTTGTTATTATTCAACAATCATGATATGCGACCCATCCCGAAATTTTTCATCTGCAAAACAAAATTAAAGATAAATTTGAAGAAAAAAATAGGGGTTTGTCTCAGTTACTTCGGATATTTTACTTCCAATTTTACAGCGACAGAATTATGAGACTACGTACCGTTGTTTAAAGTGGAAAAAGCCCTCTATTGACTCTTTTGCAATCGACGCAAATAAAGAAATTGAACTACGCAAGTGGCTCATAGTCTCTTTCTTCAGGCTCATTTACTATATGAAGCGTTATTTGACATATTCATTGTAAAGTGTAGAAAAGAAAGAACAAGAAAAGACAACAACAAAATGAAAGGAAGAAGTTTTTACAAAGCTGTTTAGTCGCCGCTATACCCGAATATAGTCAAATTTATCGATTATCGTTATTTGCTGGATAAAAGCACAATTTTTGGTACAGGGCTTCGTTAGGACTTACTAAACGATATTAGGCTAAGAGCCCCCGGCAACAAAATCGATTAAAGGGTGTGGGGGCGGGAGCGTCTTTTTGGAGCCCCCAAATAATTTTACAACATTGATTTGTTGCTGTACAAATGCCGTTTTTGGTACAGGGCTCCCTTAGGACCTTCTGAACTATATTAGGGAAGGAGCCCCGGCAAAAATATCATATAAGGGTGTGGGTGGGGGCGTCGCCTCGTAGCCCCCAAATATTTTATAAGATAATATAACATTGGGTTTTTGTGAAACCCATGGGGCCCCCAATCGCACATATATGAATAATTATGCCGGGGGCTTCTACCCTACCATCATTCAGCACAGGCGCGGATCCGGGGGGGGGGGGGGTAGTGAGCACTATTTTTTAAATTTGTTTTGCTCCCCAAAATTAGAAAATCGCGCCGGCCGAAAATTCGCTCAGTGGGGGGGGGGGGGGGGTGGAGTGTCGAAAATTTAAAAATTTTCACCTCAAGGGGGAGGGGGGGGTTCGGGCTCCCGGGCCCCACTCCCTGGATCCACATCACTGATTCAGCAGGTCCTAATGAAGCCCTGTACCAAAAAGGATGACTGTACTACAAATCTCAATGTTATAATACCTTATGAATTTTATGTGGTCTACGAGGCGACGCCCCCGCCCACACCCTTAAATGATATTTTTGCCGAGGCTCCTACCCTACTATCGTTCAGTAGGTCCTAAGGAAGCACTATACCAAAAATGGTGCTTTTGATCTGGCAAGTAACGGTAATTTCACTAAGCCACCTGAATATTAAGCTATTTTTCACAAAATTTCTCGTACATTGATTGCTTGAACAACTATGGTGATTATTATTTGGTCATCAATGCCGATCAACTTATTGTTAAAATGTGACAAACATTTATCTTCATGTGATTTATACCGCCTTGGGAGAGAGAGAGAGAGAGAGAGAGAGGGGGGGGGGGGGGAGGGAGAGAGAGAGAGAGAGAGAGAGAGAAGGGGGAGGGGTGATGATGACATTGGTGATGACAATGATGACTCTCCCTGTTGAATTGCACGACAAGGTTTATTTTTTTCTGTAGTTACATGTACTTATTTCGATTTAGTCATACAAAACATTTGAATTTAAAATGCACATTAAAAGGTATAAGTTTACTTGTTTTTGATAAAGGAAATTGCTTTAAGGAGTGGGATATTATTAGTACATGCTTTAATATTATTGTATAAATATCATTATTATACATGTATCATCACCATCACCCTTGGTGCCATCATCATCACTACTACCATCATTTTCACCACCACCATCATCACTACTACCATCATCATCACCACTACTACGATCACTATCATCATTATCACCACCACCATCATTACTACCATCATTATCATCACTACTACCACCATCATCACTACTATACTATCATCACTACCATCATCATCGTCGTCACTACTACCATCATCATCACCACTACTACCATCATCATCACCACTACTACCATCATCATCACCATCATCATCACTACTACAATCATCACCACCAGCATTACAACTTTCATTATCACCATCATCACCACCATCATTACTACCATCATTATCATCATCATCACTACTACCACCATTACCACCACCATCATCATTACTATACCATCATCACCACCATCATCATCGTCGTCGTCACTACTACCATCATTATCCCACTACTACCATCATTATCCCCATCATCATCATCACCACCAACATCGTCACTATTATCATCATCATCTTCATCTATTCACAGTAAAGTTTTCAATGAATTCGGTGTTGTCTGCCAAAGTTAGCTTACAGTTTAAATTTTGATATTAAATATGCAAATCATGTAAGTTCCACTGCAAACCACCCTTAATGCTGTGGTTCATAATTTGAAGCAGTTGATAATTGTCATAGATATTACAAATTCAAAATTATTCAGTCTAGTCCATTTTCAAGGTGGCATATTTTTACAAGTTTTAACTTTCTTATTGTAATTTTAACACAACTATTGTGAGAACATGAAAACAGAATTTAAAATTCTTGATTTCAACAATTACACCATAAAACTTTCATCCATTTGAAAAC